AGTTTGTTCAGAAAAAAAATATGAAATTTGAATTTAGTTATTACATTAAGGGCATCAGCAAGATTTTTTTGTCATATACAGAGTGTTTCAGATAAACTTTTTCAGAATCAGTTTTTGTACTTTTTCTACGCTATTGGGCGATGTGAAACCTAACAACGTTTAAATTTGTTATCCACAGTTTTCCGGAAATTCATTTGATAAATTTTAAAATAGAACTGAATGTTTGAAAATCTAAAGTTTGTTCCACAAACACAATTTTACGGAAAGTGATATTACTTTAAACTTGGAACACGGTTTCTTTGTTTTCAACTGGAATAAAAAATGCGCACCAAATGGTCAGTTTTCTATTAAAAGCCTAAAAAACTTCAAGAAGAAAGGATCTAGCAGCAAGTTCTTTGAAATGACGAACTGGTTTTTTCAAATGACGCGTTTGTTTTTTCAAGTGATGTTTTTGTGGAGGAAAAAATTATTGCTAAGCACAAGCATGCAAAATGTAATCAAGAAGGAAAACTTTTGAAACAATTGTGAGTGTTCTTGTTCTGACGATTGAAAGTGGTGAGACACTCAGTAATTGGAGGTGATAACAAACTAGATTTCAAAAATCAAACAAGCGATACCCTTTAAGCGATCTTTAATCTATTGATGGAGAACAAATAGTTTTTAAAGACACGGTGAAAGACCTTGCTGTTTGATGCAATTTCAAAATGTCATGAATAAACCACATCACCGACTGGCTAAAAAATCAAACATGCAACTTAAGCACATCAGAATTTCTTCGCCAAACTCACTGAGTAGCTCTGTTCGGGTTTCGCTTTTTAAAAGCCGTGTACTATCAAAAAATTTTTATGCACTTCCAGTTTGGTTTGCGACTAAAAACAGTGTGAGCGAACCGAAAAACTTCAACGACAATGCATAAAATGGTGTTACAAAAAAAACATGAATTGAATGATGAGGATTATGTTTTTTACTTGAAAAACGCAAACTGTTGCCAATTTGACTGAATTTATTTAAAAACGATTTAAGTTTGCTGAATAAAATCATGAAAAACAAGTTGCCGATAATTTTTCTTGATGTTTGGGCAATCCACAAGGGCCCTGATTCAAATCGAACCGGAAACAAGACGTTTTCGAGAATGCCAATGATATCACGGAGCAAAATTTTTTTTTACCGTAACGCAGAAACGTCAAAAACCCTCGCAATATTGACACAAAACAATTTGCCTGGCTATGATCCTTTTTAAGAGCTGTAATCTTTAGAAAGAATTTGTTTTGCTATTGGTTGATAAACTACAAACATTTAGGTACTCGATTTATCCAGAGTTAAATTTCTTATTTTTTTATACTATTTTTAATATCATTGACTAAGAGCAACTAATCCTCGCCTTGAGGGCTTAATTCAACCTTATTAGGATTATTACGATTATAGTTTTTTCTTCAATTTTAGTTTTTTTTTCTCGCAAAATAGAATACAACAAAAAATCATGGGAATGGAGCAATGTATCTATTTTGCCTGTTTAGTCGAGATTCCAACGCCAATAACAATTTACAACAGTTTTTTTTCAATTTCGAAAGAAAAGGTGTAAGATTACTGAATTTCAGTATTTTTGAACAATTGAAGCTGAGAAAAAGATTCTATCAAACGGAAACTAGTTTTTTTAAGCTTACAATTTACGGTTTAAACAAATACGTCTCATAAACTTTCAAATAAATGTCATGTCAAAATTGTGATTGTATTTTTAGGTGACGCAATGCAAGTTTGACATATTTTTTAAAACAAGGAAACTTTTTGTGAATCGCTCGATAGAATCTTTTTGTGAATCGTGTGATGTGAAAGCAAAGAGGGCTTAATTTTTTTCTGCGCAATTTCCCGATATGTCATTTTATAGATGAAGAATAGTTTTGATTTTCTGAGAGCCAGAAAATTGGCAGACAGGGCCGTACGGTGAATGAAATTACTAAACTTTGGAGAGATCAAAGTTTCGCAACAAATGGCTTGTTGTTTTTTACTACATTGTGAATAGTTAACCGACGGAATAATCCAGCTGCAAAATCATTCCCAATTTTGAAATGAGGTCAATTTTTTCAAGTAAGTTTTTTCTAGAGATCCGTTTTTCAAACAAAGTAATACTAAGAGAAAAAATTTTCTTTTAGCATTTGATGCTTCGTGTTAGTTAAAATTCAAAAAAAATTAAAACTGTTCCGGTGTACTCACATTGTTTTTGATAAATGGATCAAATACCAAAAAAACTCAAAAAAATTGGTTTAAAAATTTTCAAAAGACGCCTTTGTTTCTTCACGTGATGTTTTGGTGGACGGAAAAATTATCACTTAGCACAAGCTTGCAAAATGTGAAAAAAAATAAAGAAAATTTTTTTAAACAAGTTGTAATCTGTTTTGTTCTGACGATTGAAAGCGGAGATACGCTAAGTAATAGGTGGTGAACACAAATAAATTAGATTTCAAAAATTAAGCAAGCGATACCCTTTAAGTGATCTAATGAGAGCAAATAGTTTTAAGAGACACGGTGAAAGACCTTTGTATTTGATGCAATTTCAAACTATCATGGACATACCACATCACCGAAAAGCTAAGAAAAAAAGCAAATTTGCAATTTAATTACATCAGAAAATTTTTGTCAAACCCACTGAGTAGCTAATTTCGTCAAACCCAATTTCGTCAAACCCACAGAAGATTTTCGTCAAACCGGGTTTCGCTTTTTAAAAGCTGCATATCATCAGTAAACTTTTATGCATCTTCAGTTTGGTTTGCGACTAAAAACCAATGTAAGCGAATAAAAAAACTTCAACGACGATGCATAAAATGGTGCTACAAAAAACATGAAAATAATGATGAAGATTATGTTTTTTATTTGAATAAAAGCAAACTGTTGCCAATTTCACTGGCGTTATTGAAAACGATTTAGTTGCCGATAATTTTTCTTAATTTTTGAGCAATCAACATTGGCCCTGATTCAAATCGAACGGCAAACAAGACGTTTTTGAGAATGCCAATGTTAACACGGAGCAAAATTTATGAATTTTTTTCACCGTGTCGCAGAAATGTCAAACACCCTCCCGAGATCGAACAATTTCCCTGTTTATGATCCTTTCCAAGAAACTGTAATCTTTCGAAATAATTTGAATCTGTTAATGGTTGTTAAGCTACAAACGTTTAACACTCGATTTATCCACAGTCATGTTTTTTTCTAGTTTATTTTACTAATTTTGTTATCAATGGCTAAAAGCAACTAATTCCTGCCTTGTGGGTTTAATTCAATCTTATTATGATTATTTCTGTAGTTTCTTCTTCCTTTTTTTTTCTTTTCTTGCAAAATCGAATACCACAAAAAATCATGGGAATGGAATAATTCATCTATCATACCTGTTTAGTCTTGATTTGAACGCCATTAAAAATTTACAACATTTTTTCTCAATTTCAAAAAAAAGGTAAAAAATTATTGAATTTAAGATTTTTGAACAATTAAAGCTGAAAAAATGATTTAATTGTTCATTAATTGTTCATTTAATTGTTCATTGTTCTTAGAAATTTGTTTTTTAAGCTTGCAATTTACGGTTTAAACCAAATACGTCTCATAAACTTTCTAATAAATAACATGTCAAAGTTCTGATTATGTTTTTAGGTGACGCACTTTACATGCTTGACAAGTTTGACATACTTAAAAAAACAAGGAAATTTTTTGTGAATCATTCAAAAAAATTTTATGCTATTGGGCAATGTGAAACCTAAGAGGGCTCAAATTTCCCGATATGTCATTTTATAGATGGAAGAATAGATTTGAATTTCTGAGGGCCAGAAATTTGGTAGACGGGGTCTTATCGTGAATGAACTGACTAAAATTTGGAGAGATGAAAGTTGCGCACGAAATGAATAATTTTTTTTTACTACATCGTGATTAGTTAAGCGACGGAATAATCCAGCTACAAAATCATTCTCAATTTTGAAGTGAGACCAACTTTTTGAAATAATGTAGTTATAGAGATCTGTTTTTCAAATATTGTATCACTACAAGAAACAATTCCCAATTAGCGCTTGGCGCTGCGTATTGGGAAAAAAGTTCAAAAAATAAAAAATTGTTTCGGTGTACTCAATTACCAAAAAAAAGATTTCGAGAAAAACTGGTGTAACAATTTTGTCTTTCAGTCTAATTTCAATCGATTAAATTTGAGTTCATTAAACTAAAAAAAAAGATTTATCGAACAAGAACTACTTTTCGAAGCTTGATTTTGCGCGTTCTTGGGAAGGAAAATTTTCTCAGAACAAAAAAAAACGATACAAATTGCATAAAAAAAATGGATTTTTTGTTAATTATTTCATTTTTTTATGATACTTAATTTGATGCCTGATTTAAGAAAATTCGACGCGTTTGCTTGTTCTTTTATTGCAGAACGTACAAAAAACGACAATGATTCTAAGAAAAACGAAAGAAAAAAACCTTCTTTATAATTTTTACAAATGTGCTCGGAAACTTCTGGGCTACTTGAACCGGCTACCTTGTTTTTGATGCTGTTGGTCAATATGAAGTTTAGCAAAGCAAACAATTTTCATTCTAGATTTTCCAAAAATCATTATAAACATGGAAAAATAGAGAACTGATTTCTTAATAATCAAATAGTTGTTACACAGATTTTTTTGGATCGACCGTGAGATTACTGACATTTGGGACACAAACAAACTATTTGAATTGGGATAATAAATGTGCATAAACTCTATCGATTTAGAACTTTTGGCTCATTTTCAAAAAATGTTAGCTAAACCTTCTCAGAAATTTGACTGATTCCATATGTTAGCTTTTTTGTGTCATCAGATATCAGTCTTTTTTCTACATTCTGTCAAAATTCCATAGCGTCTGCTAAAATGCATGATGAGAAATTTGACACTTACCCCCCCTGTATGTGCAATCGTATTACTGCAACTCTCTAAAGATGCTGTTTTCCCTAGTATACAACTTCCTAGTCTTTATAATTATAGTTTCATATTTTATTTTAAAAAGTTCCAAGCTTACAAACATAAAGTGCTTTGAATATACAATTTTTACAAATTAAACTAACAATTTTCAGGTTTCAAGAACATACGCTTGACAAAGTTTCTGCCGGGTATAGACAGTTTTTGGAGTCTTTTTAAAATCATTTCTCAATAATTGTCACTGGGGATTGCTGGATCTGCGTGCTTCATCGCCATTTCTTGGGACAAAAAGTCGGTCGGACTATTCCAACTCTGCGACCTGTCGGAGGCCGGTGAAACAGCGTCAACTTCATCTTTTAAGTCATCAAACGACGGACTTTTGCCGCAAATTCTTCTTCTCGGAACTTCTTCGTTTTCTTTCTCGTCTCGGCTGTCTTCGTCGACGAATGAAAAGCTTCGTTTTTTGACGCTGTGCATTTTCGGATCTTTCTCGTCGGAATCAAGAAGATCCTGGAGATACTCAATGTAGCGAATCGCAGCTCGAAGTGTCTCCACTTTGCTAAGTCGTTTCTCGGCCAGTTCGTTCGGCAGATGGTTTCTTAATCTGGTGTAGCCTTCGTTCACACATTTCACTCGTTGTCGTTCACGCTCGTTTCGCTTCCGGAGGAAGCTTGGCTCTGGCGTTCCCTGGACAGGAACTGCAGGTCCATTTTGCCTCGACGTCGTCAAATTTGCGACTCGCGAGGGTATCGCGTAAGGTCGGAAGAAGGCTGAATTCTGCTGAACGGAAGAATAATAACTAGGCAAGTGGTCGGTTATAAGGCTAGCGGGTGATGGCGCCGATGAGACCTGGATTGAAGTTCCGTGGGCTGTGAAGTAGGGGTTTGTTCCGGGCTGGAGGGTTGTGGGGAAAATGCCCTCCATTTGATAAATAAAGTTGGGCGATAGCTCGCGGTCTACTCCATACGGCGCTGATACCATATTTGGAACTTTAGAATTCAGCTTTGAACTTGAATGGTATCAAAATTAGAAGAGTTTTCCTTCTGAACTGTTGTATAATATCTGCGATCTCGGAACTGCTTTTGAGAAGAATTGCAGGTGAAGTGATGAAAATTTTCTGGTTGAAAAGAGCTCTGAAAATAGGAAGTACTTGTTATCTTATTATCTATGGAAATATTAAATATTTTTATACAGGAAATGGGCTATAATAACCAAGTTAAACTGCAACACTTCCCTGTTTTTGTCCCAGATTTAGACCTCTTTCCGCTGTTTTGTTTTAACAAAACCCAAGTCGCCGGCTAATATATTTTAAATTAGCCAGCCCTAGAAATCTTATTAGCTTTTTATTAGTTTTTTTAGTGAGCTATTGCGTCAAAAAAAATTTTTCAAGGTGTTAAATGACTATTTGAATTTTGCAATATTAAATTTCAAAGCGTATTAAATAAAGATGAAAATCAAAGTTAAAAAGTATTTACCTTTCGTGGATGATTTTTTTCCGAAGTGATATTTTCCCCGTTTTTTTGCTGACTTTATCTTCAGTTGACTACTTTTTGGTTTGATTTTAATCTTTTTTGTTTGACACCTTGAATAATTTGGGATAATTGAACTTCAACTGCGGAATTAAGCGACGCTGATAAAGCATTCCTACTTCCTTTCTTTTTATTTACAGGGAAATGATATCTCGATCACCGTCCAATCACATTTCAGCATTTTTTTCATCTTATCTGAGATATATGGAAGAGAAAAAGTTTCTCAAAGCTGTTGAGATGGAAGTTAAGCAGAAAATGTCAATAGTCGTGAACAAATTTGGACCAATATTCCCATCTGATAATTGGGTGCTAAGTGCTTTTTCCTTAGAGAAAAATAGATCGAGTATCTCCTAAATGTCGCTCTTGTAACTCCACTGAGCCACCATGCTTTGAATTGATTTGTAGCATTTTCATCCCCAGGCTATTGTTCGATCTCTCCCCCTTTCGATTCGGTAAACAATGACAACTGTCCGGCTGTGATAAAATCCTGCTCCAGAGTTATTTGTAAAAGAGTCGCCAAATAACTGGAAGGCATCATTCGAATATTGCAACTTTGCTACCCTTTTCAACAAAACTTTCTCTTCATCTCCTCTGGCAATTTTTTGATGGATCAATTTTGTAGAGTTCTTCTCATTAACAAATAAAAGATAGATTCTAATGTTTATATATTGCTACTCTCACTTTGCTTGAAAGCTATAGTCGATTATTAGTAAATGTATAATGTATGTTAATATTTTTTTTAAATAAGAATGGTGTCGTGAAATTGTTATCATGCGATTATTTATTTCCCTAGAGTTCATTAGAAATTTTCATGGCTACAGTTTTTGTAAACGTTTGTGAAATTAAGCTCAATAAAATTGCAATTTTAAATCGAAATGTTCGTCTTTCATCTTTGATTGATGAAGATTTCCTGAAAAAAAATTCAAATACTTGAAAAAAAAACGATAAGAAGCGCATTTTGTCAGTCGAAATCGGTTTGTAAAATGGCGGGTTATTTCATAAAGAATTTTGAGGCTGATGACCTCTAAATGTTTTCTAACTCCTAAAAACTCGATAATGCTTGGTCTCACGAACATTGAAACGAGTGATTGACATGAATCCAAATCAAGTTTGCCTTCCATGAAAGCAATCCCTGAATTAGATTGAGTATTTTTGGCCTTGTCAATATTTCTTGTTCATAAGTTTTAGGACCGCTAGTGACGCTTGCGCAATCATTTTTTATACGAATTTGTATTGAAAGGGCCAATTAAGAGCGGACGTCGGCTCAGTCTAAAAGCCTCAGCGGCTACACTTGAAAAAGTGACTGAGACAAACGAAATCTTGCTATAGAAAAAAATCTTACGAATTCTTTTACTCATTATGCATGCTATGTTTAAGAAGAGTAAAAAGTTTATGCATAAAGATTGGAGCTATGGTATCGCCCTATGGTATCTTCTAAAGAATTGCCACCCCTATAAACAAGACAGTAAAATAGTGTTATTTTTATAATTCGAGTATTGCTGCAATCTGATTGGTCGAAATTCGATTAACTGAATCTACTTTTAATTACCCCCTTTTTTCTCGGAAATGGGGTAATTGTTAAGTAGATCCTAAAGATTAATTGTTTCAATTTTGTTGCTGATCGATGATAGCGGCGATCAGTTATGATGAGTCTTCCTGAGCTTCGAACACTCTTGATAGCCGCTGACATCAAGCCATCATTGATAAAAATGGAAAAAAGACTTTATGTTTCTTCCAAAATAACGGACTCAAATCATATGCAAACTTCTAGCAGAGAAAATACATCAAAATTGCAATTTCTGTCTCGAACTCGTCATTCAGGGTATTACCGCTATCTGCAGTAAGCTCTCTCAGTTTTTTGCTCCGATGTGTTGAAGTGCTAAAGGTAGCGCCTCACTAAACTTGCTTGAGGTTTGTTTTCCAGTTTGATAGAAAATTATTCTTGTGCTTGCCGGCTGAAATAAATGTAAAACTAAGCTTAATCAAAAGGCATGCATCAGCTTTTGGAACTAAGTTGTCGCGTAGTATGTCTGTTTTTCATTTTTCAAGCTTTTTTGATCGGACTTTCAAGAAGTGACGGAATATTTAACGCTTGGAGTGGTTTTGCTATTCAATTAGGTTTCGAATTTTTAACTAAGCGTTTTTCACGGAATTTGTTATACCATCTGAAAGATATGATGTTGTTGTCCGTTGCTCAAGTGTAAAAAAAATCGCACGAGATTTTAATTTGTTTTATTATGGGGGTTTGCAAATAGCTAATTTTGGCCAATTTGGAATAATTAACGGTGCGATACATGACAATTTTTAATATGCGTAAGCGGCGAACTAAACTGTTTCGAATTGAATTAAGGCAACTCATTTGGTTCTTTTATTGGGTTATTAGACGCTAAATGTTTCTTTTTTTACTTTAGAAAGCGTTGATAAAATGAATAAAACATGAACCAAAATTTTTTTTCTAACATTAATATTGCAACCATAATTTTAAAATTGGCCTCATTGGCTTCGCCTTGATATACGAGCAGTCTCATCGTATTGTCTGATACTTTGATGTTTTGACTTATACTCAAAGAGATAGGGCTGGGTTAGACAGGTCTGGATTATATAAATTTTTATGTACGTTTTATAGCGCGAAAAGTTATGAAGAAATAATAAGTTTTACTTTAAATGTCTAGAAACAGTTTTTGTTCATTTTTATAAAAAATATATATACTGTTTTTGTTTTAGAGCTTCATAAAAAACATCAGTGAACTTCATCGAAGTTATCCGCTTTTTGCTGCGATGGAAAATTGAGTCTTGATTGCAAAACATTTAGACCAATACTTTTTTTTACTGTAAATGCGTTTCAGATTTTTTTTCAGAATTCAAGTTCTGACTGGAAATGGTTTTAGGATTATCTCTCAGTTGAACCTTCATGAGCTGTTTGTAGCCGAACTCCGCTAAAAAAAACAACCTGCGTCATAGTTACTTCCATTTTATTCGAAAGGGGTTCATACAATTCCGAGGCTAGTCACATCATGGCTTATCATGGTCTTCAAAATGCCTTTTAATTGTTCCAAAACCATTTCAACTTCTATTTTCAAAAAAAATCATTGAACTTGAAAATTATATCAACAACTACTTGAGAGTGAATCTAATCATCGGACTGTTTTTGAGTGCAATTAATTTCCCAGATGCTTTGGGCGCATTATGAACAACACTGCTCGTATCAGTAAAAAGCCCTGAGTGTTCCGATTGCATTTTAAGGTATATAGAGCAGTAGTAACAAGAAAATTTTAAATGTATTAAAGAATGATTTTTTTTTGAGATTTTTTGTGAAAATCATCACCCCACACGCCATATAAAGTTCGAAGTGATAAACTTCGCTCCCAGTAACAAATCAATTATGACAAATAAGCTTCTTTTAACCAATTTGGAATGATTTCTAGGGCGGATTAAGTCTCCGTTTACGCATTAATAGCGCGAAATATATCGCACGTTAATTGTCCCTTATTGGCCAAAATGGCACTCTTTAAACCCCCATAATTTTACAAAAAAAAGATCACAGGTGAAATATCTTTTCAAATTTAAGCTCAGAACAACAATACCTTTCGAATTATATTTAAAAATTCCGTCAAAAATGGCTAGGTAAAAAGTCTGAAAAAACCCAACCCGAGCACAAATATTCAGTTACTTTCTTCACGAAAGTTGGAACAATAAACAGTTGTAATTATATAATAGCTATAACAACGAATACTCATAAAACTTGAAGTGCTGATAAACTCCTCTCAAGTCATCGGAGTGTATAGAGTAAAACTAAGAAAAAAAAGTTGCAACTAATGCAAACAAGACGTGCTGTGAAACATTTTCCTGAAAAAAACCGAGCTATGGATTCTGGGTGATTAGTGTCGTACAAGCGCGTCGCCTCTGGAAATATTTTTTTTTAAATAGTAGTTGATGAGAGACGTTCTCAGTTTGCCTCCATGGCATACTGCGGCCTCTGTTTTTTTAGCTGATCTAAAAACACTTGACCTTTTTATGACCAATTTTCTACCCGACTCAAATTATTTAATACTACCGAAAGAAAAAACGTTGCCCTTTTCTGTCAAATTAAAAATCACTAGCTTAGGTTCCAAAAATGTTCGATTGGTCAAAGACCTTTTAGCCAATTGTTTTTAGACAGCTTTCAAGTCCTATCTTAAGTGTCAAGTTTAAGACAAAATTTTTGTTTACTTTTTCACTTGAGTTTTTGTAGTTTGCTTTGAAAAAACTCCTACGAGTTATTTTTAGATTGCTCGCAGTTTACTGTCGCTTCAAAAGTTCATCTGAACTCAAATAGTCCCCACACAGCTTTCAGAACTTCCTCCTGTCAAACGTGTCAAGTGTTTGTGTGCTTTGAGGGACAGCAAACAACCAAACAACATCTGCGTACTTTGAAATGAGTTAGTTATGCTTAAAGTATACAGTGTATTTCACCTCAAAGTCAAAGCCTACTAATAGCTTTTAAACTGTTAATTTTTGCACTATAAAAATATTATGAAATCAAAGAATATTATTAAGTTTGAAGCTAACTCAATTAATAAAGACCTGGAGATTATAGTTATAACATATAAATCCGGCAGCAAGTATAGACTTTGACATTATTGTTATTTTTTGTTCTTGTTGTTTTTTAAAGGATTAGAAAATTAAATCAAATACACCGGTTGTTCATTTTATTAAAAAATAAGTATCAATATTGGATGATATTTTGTACTTTTCCCCGCAAATGTTCTTTTGTTTTCATTGGAGAACACTTCTTTGTATTTTTGATTCTTTTATGTTTTTTTCAAAAGTGGCCTTTAAAAAATGCAAATGTGGAAAGTTTTTTTTTCATTGGAGTGAACACAACATACAGCGATCTAATCAAATCGCATATTTGTTATTTTGAGTTAGTTGTTGGGCAAACTGTTAAAATCTTTAGTAACAATTCGGCTAAATGATATGGAAATGCTTGAAAATGATATGGAAATGCTTGAAAACATTCTCATTCGATTGTTTCTAGACTTTCTTTCAGAAATCGGTCTGAACTGCTCACCTGTCCTGGCTGCAATCAATTATTAACTACAATGTAAACTGGCCGGAGGGGACATAGCTCAAAGATC